TTTTTCTTAAAAGTAATGTATTTATAATTAAACGAAAAGAGGAGCAATTTTATGTTACTTGCGAAACTGAAGTCTTCGAAATAAAAAAGGTCATACTAGGAAATTATCATGTTACTTGGCTTCGCATAAGTTCTACCAACACAGTTCTAAACCAACTTCACATCTAACGCCTCAAAGATAAATTCGACAACGCAATAGACTAATCATCTCATTTCGCCAGCGCCTATAAATTAAGACACGACGACTTTGACTGAGCGAATGATTTCCTGTGGTTATTTTTAAATACAGTCAGTATTACTTTCGTCTTCATTAAAATATATACATATGTATGTGCATATATACCGTACTTGTATCAAATCGTGTGCATTCACATGTTTAAGGTTTGACTTCTCGACTTAGTGGAAGCGACGGCGGAAATGTGGGGGGTCACATGCGCAATTTGCAAGACAGAAGCGATTACAAAGCAAAAAATAAATAATGTAAAATTTCTTAAAATCGAAATAAAAACTGCAGTTTCATTTCTGTTTTTGGTATTTCGTTGAAAATTGTCGTCAGAAAGCGTTTAAACAAACAAAAGATCTTATTATTCTTCATAATCAATTTAATTACTTAATCTCTTGTGTGTTTATGTTTTTGTTATTGTTTACCTAAGCAAACATATGAAATTAAATAATTATGACGTTGTTGTCATTTGCATATCTGTTGGGTAATAAAAATGTACTGAAGTTGAAAAATTCCAAAAATTTCTTGTTGTGCGCGGAATACTGCATACATATATGTATAAGTACAAGCTAGTCCGATTATTATATATATATAATCTTATACCCTGAACAGGGTATATTAAGTTTGCCAAGAAGCTTGGAACAACGAAAAGGAAACGTCGGAGACTATATAAAGTATATGTAATATATACAAGTATAAATAATCAGCATGGCGAGCTGAGCCGATTTAACCATGACCTTCTCTCACTGTAAAAGCGTATGCGAAATAATTCCCCAGTTTTTGCGATATCGATCTTAAATTTTTCACACGTCCTGTCCCCTCCAAGAAGCTCCGCATTTTTTGGAACTGTCGATATGGGATCACTGTACGATACTGCTGTCATATAAACTGATAGATCAGAATCAAGGGCTTGTATGAAAACTTTTACATTTGCAAAGATATCTTCCTGAAATTTGGCATGGATAATTGTACAAAGAAACGCTAAAGATAAAGATCTTGCACTTGTGAAGAGGTTTATATCTTCAGTGCAGCCGAAGTTAACGTTTTTTCTTGTTTTATCAGCAAACCAATTATGGACTTCGAGAGGAGTGAAGTTTGGTCGAAAAGATATGATTGTTAGAAGAAAAAATGTTATATTCATATATGTTTGTATGTATAACAGGCGATTACTATTATTTTGAACACCACTGTACATATATTTCAAAAGAACTTTTCACAAAAGATTTTTTAATTCTTCAGAGCCTCAGTGTCTGAGAACCCAAGCTACATACAGACATATGTTTATGGCGAGTCCTCTTGTCTATTCGCATTTGTTTAAAAATATGTAAATATTTATTTATTTATCGCTTCGTCAAAATGTCTTCTATATCGCTTTTCGCTATATTTTTCGCAGATGCCATTAATGTTATGTGCATATGTATGTTTGGCAAATTTTTATAATTTTCTTTATGTTTTTTGGCTCATTATTTCACACTTGAGCATCGTGTTGTCGTTTTTTTGGCATTTCGTCACTACAGACGCTTCGCTCTCTTCATTCAATGCTCTGCTCAATTTGTTTTTTTTGTTGTATTTAAAAAAATTATTTTGTGTACGAATTTCATTTTTATACTATACATTTTATTGCGATTGATTCAGCAGGTAATTAGTCATTGCACAACTACACACCGAAGCTATAACATAATACCCTTCACGAACGAAACATATTTCTTTCAAGAACTTTGATCGGTCTGTTTGTATGGCATCTATACGCTATAGTGATTCGACTTGAACAATTTTTTCATAGATATGGCATACATACATATGTATATACATACTTATATACTTTATAGAGTCTCTGGCGTTTTTTTGGGTGTTACAAACATCGTGGCAAACTTAAAATACTCTGTTAGGGTATAATAATATGCATACATATATATTAATAATGGAATAATAAATAATAAAATGGAATGGAAAATATTCTGAGGTGTACTTAGTTGCTGACGGAGTTGAGGCATTTATAGCTAGCATAGAACATATTTGGACTGATTTTTTTGATGCCTACCAAACAATGATGGTGATTTTTGTTCATCCTGTTAATCCTTAACTACTTCTTTGTGGGCCCGCTGAAAGTCATTTTATAATGTTACTTTATGATTTTAACGATGCTTTGTTGAACAGTTTTTGCATTTCATCTGACATAAACCTTGTTCTAGGACACATGCCTCTTATTCAATTATAAATGGACTTCCAACGAAGTTCTTGAGGATCTTGCGAATTTTTCTCGAGTAAAATTTTTGTATATATTCAGGTATTTCGTATTATTTGAGTTGGACATTCAATAATATTTTAAATTTCTAAATTCGTTTCTTCGTACAACACAATAATTATGACCATTTTAATAATCATGAATGATAGAAACAAGATAACGACAACGTCTAAGACGAAACAAACTGTCAAACTTCCATAGTAATTGTAAACAAAGCATTCCCTCCTTTCGTTCAGATCAGTAGCCAACTGTTGCTGTTCATCTCATCAAATTTAGACTAAAAATAACCCAAGTAGAGGTGCTTTTTCAATAGCCTTTTTTTTTACAGATCACGCGTGTGTCGTGTCAAGCTGACATGTTATTTTTGTTCAGTTCTGTTTGGCATTTCATCATGGAAAGACTTACGTTTGAACATCGTTTACAAATTGTTCAACTTTTATTACGAAAATTCATCTTGAGACCCAACATTAATTATTGGATAATATTCGACGAAATATACCACGTTCAGCACGCAGTGAAGAAAACAAAGCGGCCGTAACTAAAGTACTTAGGCTTATTATGAATTTATTTAATTGTTATAATTAAGTAAGGTATTAATCGATGCATTTGATATAATTAGCACTTGGCTGTGATATTTTAGTTTTTTTAGGAAAAATATTGAAATTTTAATATAATTTTATTAATTAAGTCAATTTAGCTTAATTTTCTACATTTATAGTATTCCCTTTCGTTCCGGTTGGAGCGTAGGGCCAAACCTCTATCTAATTGACTAAAATAGATGGCTTTCTGAAACGCTTATAAATTTATTTTAGACCCTTCACCTTCATTTTTCGAACAGGTTATAATTAAGGAATCTTCACACAATTTAAATTTTTCATACAAGTTGTATAATTATTAATACCAATGAACTTAATTAATCATATAATCAAAAAAATAAATAAATAAATAAAAACATACTGCATTTTTCGATTTTATATGCATACTGTAATAAAATCTTATTTTTACAATATTTGCACGATATTTCGATTTTATTAAAATTATTGTATTTCTACGTTAACGATTTCTACGTTAAAGATTATAATTGAAATTTTTGTAGCTATGTCACAAATCAGCTGTACTCAGAAAGAACTTTCTTTTCAATGCTTGGTTTTGAATATATTAGATAATATTACACAGGAGAGGTATTCACCAATTTATGTTTGAATAATTATTTATTGTTAAAAATTAATGGGGTATTTATAATACATTATTTCTATGGTACATTGGATTAATTTTAATACAAGAAGCTATATACTTTGTTAAAAAAATGCTTTTAAAAGTAGAAAAGAAATACAAAATTAATTCAAAAATGCGAAATATAATAATATTTCGATAAATATCATTAGAGCTTCAAAATATGTGATAGCCCTTAAATTGCATATTTGAAAAGATATCATTGATGAATATTGATGTAATTAGTATTGCTTTGCTCCTTTAAAACAATAAAGTTTATATATATTGTAACCAAATTTCCAAATAAATCACAAAAAACATTTGAAAACAAATTATATTTTTGAAAGCTTAAAAAGGAACATGATTGCTCTATTAAAATTTGAAAATTTATATATCTTTACCTATGTATATAATAGTTACGTGCTACGTTTGTCCGGGGTAAACTCCTAAACTACTTGTACTATACCGTTTTTGGTAAAATTTAGCACACTGTGTCCTGTTTGATTCAACTTATAAGATAGTATAGTTAATATCCTAATTGTGTTAAAAATCGAAAGAATTCTTAAGTAAATGAAATGTATATATTTCTAAACACAAGCAAAATTCTAAACAAAAAAAGAAAAACTAATATTATTATAATATTACTCAAAATTGCTGTCAAATGCTGAGAAATAACCCAAACCTCAACAATCACTAAAGGTCAATTATATAATTTTCTAAAAAAAATATTATAATTGTATGTAAAATATATCATATTTAATTAAAAACATTGCAAAACAAATACAACTTTGGGCTTAAAAAATTAAAAAATGGAAAAATTCGTTTCGTGATTGGTACTTGTTTGGGCTGTGTTGAACCTGTTCGTTTTTAGTCTGAACATTTTACTCTTTAATAAATATTTGATTTAATTTTAGGCAATAATTTGTAGGTTTAAACTAATATTTAACTACACTAGTTGGTTATTCTACTGCAAGATTTGTTTGTTTAAAGAAAATTTGATCATAACCCATAATCTCTTTCTAACCTACAATTGGCCTGATCTTCAACAGTTTGGAAGTAACAATAGATACATACCTACATATTGCTGTGTGTATGTGTGGGAAAAATGTGGAAATTAATAGTAAAGTTAAAGTAACAAAATAAATAGAATGAAAATTGCTGCTGCACATTTCTAATATTCATAACTGTATAATTTGTCATATTTTTGCTACTTTTTTTGGGAAGAAATTTCACCACAAACAACAATATAGTGTGTACATACATATGTATTGGGTATGTACAAATTGAAAAATTTTGCTGCGTCGCAATAAAATCTACTCACACTGCTTGGATTTTGCGTGTTGCCACTAATGGCGTTGTTGTTGCTGCTAACGCGCATCACACCACAAAAGCTTTGCACCCGTCGTGGTGGAGCTTGCTGCCAAGGGTTGTGCGCTTTGCAAGGAATATCTGTCCACTGTGTTTCATTCGATTTGCTTGCTGCTTTGCAAGTTTTGTATCTTTGTGTATTAATAACTCATTTTTTGTTTGTTAAAATTTCATATTTACACGGCCACAACAACAAATGTTAATATTGTCAACAAATTGTAATTTTTACAAATTTGTGTTAATGTTATTTTTATTTTTATCTTTTCGGATGTCAATATTTGATTTTTTAGATATTATAAAGATCAATTTTTGCTTTATAACGGCATTGTTAATTATCACACAGGCTTAAAACACAATATTAAAAAAAAAATTCAAAGCATGTTGCTTATATTCTCGAGTTTTTATTACATGTACTCACAGCATTTCAAATGTTTCGCGTGATTTCTCTGCAACTTTCACAGAATAAATGCGCAGTACTTGAAAAGGTCACACACAGTTCCGTAAAAAATACCATTTCCAATAGAAAAACTGTTTCACTCCACATTTTGAAACTGTTTATTTTGAGTATTGTTGTTTTTATTAATTGTAGTATTATTATTATTAAACACTTTTTTACCCAAAATGTACTGTCATTTTCGGCGCTCCGGTTCGTCGTCGCAGCCGCGATGCGGTATGATCGCACAAAAGTTTCAGTTCTCAATGCCGCTGTCGTCGCTAGCAGACCAAATGGAAAGTTCAATTTTCTACCTTGTCGTTGCGTCGTCGTCGCCTTTAGTGCCTTCGTTGCCATCGTTCGTTTTGATAGCGGCGACGTTGCGGTCAACTGTGCAGTCGGCGTTTACTGTTGTCTATATACACTTATTCAGTGCTGCTGTTATACATATTTGATTCGCCTGTTGTTCTTGTTGTCGCTGTTGTTGTGGTTGTTGTTCGTGTTGCTGACTTGTGTTTGACTGGTTTGCTCGTTGGTAATTCGTAATTTTCAGCTTCTGCGTCGCGCTCCTCTCCGTTGTTGTTAAAATTGCTCTTGTTGTTGCTGTTGCTGTTGCTCTTCCTACTGGCGCACGAATCGGGCGAAACTGGGAATAATGTCGCTCGCGCACCTAATTGCTGCAAGTACATACATACACACATAAATACATAAATTTGTGTCTGTTGTTGTTGCTGCTTTTTATCGATGGTGTGTTACGGGCTTCCTGTTCCGCCGCACCCTGCTCCCTCTGCTCCGAGTCAGTGCTGTACTTTTTTAATGGCATTTCATGTAATCTTTCTGCACACACTCACGTGTCACTATGTGTGAGTAGCGTGAGAATCCACACTCGCATGTACACATACATACATTCATATATGTATATTGTACATCTATATATGTATATCTATGCCGCTTATGTACTTATTTTTATATCTGCCGCTGCTCTCAATGTTCTTACTTACTCGCTTTTACAATTATTTCTTTATTGCTCGCTGTGATAGTTTGTAATTTTCACTCTCATTCGCCTCGACAGTATTTTGCGAAATTATGATGAGCATGCTGTACATACATACTTACGGATAGACATACAGATGTAGGTTTTATAGCGTATTTCACTTTTATTCAAAAAATTTCGAACCTAATTCTTTGAGTGGATCATGTAATTGAACGTTTGTATATATATACGTATGTATGTATGTACGAGTATGTATATAAATATGTGTGTACATAAATATGTTTGTTTTCAAAGGTTTGAGGAGCTTGAATTCTAAGAGAGCGCAGTTTGAAGTCGTTTCTAAGTTCCACGTTATATATTTTGCGATGTTTTAAAGTGAGACACGAGTTGTATTCGCGTCACAGTATAGTCATTTCGTACAGTAACAACAAAAGCATATAAACAAACAAGTACGGAAGGGCTATACTCTTGTAACTTTTAAGGATCAAAGTCGGAAAATACCTTCAGGTGTTGGCAAAACTTTATTTTAAGAAATGTAGCAAAAAAGTTCAACGAAATAGTGAATGGATTACAAGCAAATTTGGAGTCATATTACTTTTTTCGAAGGTCATAGACTCACTTAGTTTTATTACTATATTTTACTTCCTTATTCTTACTTATACTAAAATAATTGGAGGCATAGAAATGGAAGGGCTGATTGCATTAATTTTTGATACTGCTCAGGTATACTTGAGAACTTATTTTCAAACAATTTTATAAATATAAACATATATATGGAATAAAGTCAGCCGGACGTTTAAAAATCGGTAATATTAGTTATATAAAGGCTAAGGCCAGTTTTCGCCTGATTTTATCCATTTTAGGCACAAAGATACACCGTTATTAGAAAAACCCGCTTTCTCAATTTCATTAAAATAACTAGCACAACTGTGTGTTCGAAAACTGGAAGTTCGAAAATCTTTATACTACAATAGATATAGGTTGGCCAAGGGATCTATTGATCCGATTCAACCCATTGTTGACACAAGGGTGTTTTATTATCTAAAAAATATCCCAGCCGTCATCTCAAAAGACCTCGTGAATCTCATATAGTATAGTCGAAACAGTGAACCTGCTCCGCAGAAGGCGAAAAGACTGTTCTATCGGCCGAGCAAGTGATCGCCACTGTTTTCTCGATTGAACTACTTTGAGAATTTGCAGAAGGGTAAATTTATTTATATGCCGAATTGATCGTATTTAGTTACGAACTGATACCCTATCATCCGTGTATTTTTTTTTTCAAAATTTTTGTTTTTCCTTTGTAGACTAAGAGCTCTTTTAATGTATTAATTAATTGGAATGGGTCGCGTCATGTTAAATAAAGTGTGCATTGCAAAATAACAAAATATTTTTTATTTTTATTTATTTCCATCTGTCAAATCACCTTAAAACAGTCTGCAAATCATCTTGCAAAAGTCCACTAATTTATGCAATAAATGCACAAAATGTAATATTTGTATTCCGAAAATGCAAAAATATACCTATATTAATGGTTAGGCAAAAAAGGGACTTATATTCAACTATTTAGATGTCTAATCACTATTTCTTACGTCAACCTATGCAGTTGAATTCAATTGAATTCAATACATATGGATTACTATATGCCACTTGCTTGTTCGTTTCACCCCTCACCAAGGTTTGGCGAACGAATATACCGAATATAAAACTCAATGTATGAGTCTTATGATGAAAATATTTTAGTAACGTATGTAACAATTAGATATTAGCTGAACTATTTTATTTATTTTCCAACTAATCTAGGCTTTGAAATAAAGAAATTGCTTTGTCAAAAATGCAAAGGTCTAATTCATATATTTTGTACCTCCTCCTCAACCCTCGACCTTTAACCGATCAGCATAAAATTTTATTAATCTATGCTGTTAACAAGTCTGAAGATATAAATCAACTAAAAAATTGTATATTATTTGTTGCACTGTACGCCTGTTGGTATACTTATTTCCATTCATGGCTCAGACGAAGGAGCACGACTCTTCGTGTACTTTATTATTGTTGTTGGCTCTCTATTCATCTCTAATGATTGAGCAGCTCTCCGTTTCAAATTTTTATATGCACACACTGTGCCTGTAGATATGTATTTTAATACTTATGTGTTCATACTATATATATCGGAGTATGATTCCATGATTACATACTCTCCCTAACCATAGTTGAGTATGTCTGTTTTTGTGCCTGTTTATAGATAAAATAATACAATTCTTATTTTTACTGATGAGTTGTTGTTTTCTTCTTATTTTCGCTTTCGCCTTTTATTTTGCGGCGAGTTGTTTTGACTCGATTTGCTCTCCTAACCTAGACTTAAAGCGTTTTCCAGCACACAACACCCTAACACTTGAATGCGAAATTTAGACAATGGTTTGGGAATCACATCGTTGGATCTCCCACAAGTATGTGAAAAAAGCTAATTTCGTTAGTGTCGTTAAAGTAAAAAGAACGAAATATAAATAATTACACTAAAAATAGAAAAAAGTAAAAAGAATGCTTACATGAAGTATAAACTATGAACTTGATTATACATATGATTGAAGTCTATTTGTTTGGTCACGAGTTTTATTTCTGCTGGTTCTACCTCTTGCCAATCTTAAACAGAGAAAAAGGTGCAATTCCGCATTTTTTACATTAGATAAAGAATAAAGACGTGTTGATACACAAGTAGTGAATATCAATATAGTAGTTTATATTATCGTTTCATCTAATAACAGTCAGCGCTGCTCTAGTGACAATTTCTTTATTCTTTAGTGGTAAGAGATCCGAGGCTACCGTCAATACAGCTAGAGGAAAATCCCTGAAAAGTGCCGTTTCAAAAGGACTGAACCATAACAAAAAGGTTGTTGAATGTCACTTGTAAAGAAATATTTAATATGATATCGAAATTAAATCTATGTTTCGAACATCGGAGCCAAGTTTAAGTAAGATATATCATAACTGATAATTTTGATTGGAAAATAATTTAAAATATATGTGCAATTATTTTTTTAAGAGAATTGCTCTATAAATAACTAATTGAAAGAATATATTAAATACATATAATTGTGCCAAATACAATTTTCTCACAAACAAAGTTATTTGAGGATGATGAAGATATATATAATTATTCATATGACCTACCAACATCTTAGTAAAATTCAATTTTGTATATTCTTGCAAGCGTGGGTCAGCAAACAGCACTTGTGGAGTTGCGAAAGCGTCCTAACTGAACACTATCCCATAAGGTGGCAGCATCTAGAAACGTTTTCCTGCACAGTCTAGCTTTCGCCAAACTAAGGCTACGAATCCGGCGAATCGGCTGGAATAGATATTGGCCGCCTCAATCGTGGCCTCACGAGTAATCAGCCTATTTACCTAATCTAACTTAATCTAGATAGACTAATTAATTTACATATGCAGCATTTCAAAAATTACATTCTGGGCGTGGCATCGCTTACTTTCACATTTTTCACATTCAAGAAAAGATAGTTAAAAGGTGGAAAATCATATACCGTCATTTGTAAATTGGGATTTTTTTGAAATTGTTAAGAATGCTTTCCTTAAGCCCTCAAAAACTGAATATAACATATATAATTTATAGCATAGTTTTATTTTACCCAGAATAGTGTATAATAAGTTTTTCATACCCAGAGGGAAGTTTACAAGAATGAAAGGAAGTTGATAAATCCGTCAATTTGCTGCTTGTTTACGACGCGTAAAGTTTGTCTGGCGCTTTTCGTATTTCCAATGGAATTAGGGAGTCTACTTTCTCCCGAAACCAAATATTTAAGTGACACAAAGCATTCGATGAAGGTCGTGAAGTCATCGACAACTTGCCTCATGTGAGTCGTCTATCCACCTCTGTTAAGGTGAATAAACAGTGCTGGAAAATTGTCGTGTTGGCATCAGAGAGAAGGCAGAGGATCTCAACATCTCTTACAGATCGACTCAACACATTTTGGCCTCGTACCAAAGAGATTGAATTTTTTGCAAAAACGACGTCGAGTAGAGGTCCGAAAAGAGATGCTTGACAACATAACTGAGAATTCTACATTCATCAAACGCATCATTACTGGTGACGAGGGATGGTTTTATCAATATGACTTCGAAATTGTTCAAAAATCTAGCTAATGGCGTCCTAAAAGAAGGCACTGAAGACTTGAGGGCCATCCCAATCGAGGCTTACAACAATTATAAAGAAAATAGATAAGGCGATGGCTCAACAAGATATTTTGAAGAATATAATAAAGATTTTTATTAAAATATGTGAAAATGTTGGTTATCTTATGTCAGTCCGAGTCAAATTTGATCAGATGATATTTTCTAATTTTTGTATTTCCTTTATTTATGGGAGTGTCTAAATTAAGATTTACCTAATGCATTATGTTATAGGTATAAAAAGTCTCAAATAAAGATTTTTTTGTTTGAAAAAAATTAAAAAATATCAAGAAAGAAATCAATATTCGTAAACAAGTTTAGAAATTAATTTAAGGAGATATACAATCAAAAAGCGTAGCCTAATGGATATATGTCTCTGTATAGGAAAGTTTATATATTTATATATACGAATAAATTTTTATATATTGTAAATATATATAAAAGAATTTATACATATGTATGTATGTTTAGCTAAATGTATATAAATAACATATAATATATTTTTATATAATTCTGAGCGATTAGTAATTATTTAATGCAGTCATTATTTTGTGTAAGTAAATGCATATATACATATATATAAATATTAGGGTGGGTAAAAAAACACGAATTTTTTTCGCTTGGTACTCTGAAAAATTGGTTGGTAGGTAACTCATAGAAGGCCTCTCCAAGTTCGAGCTGTTAATTGTAACGGGAAGGTCTGCCGCCTTACAGTTATCTATTTTTTTCTTATCAGATTTCAGAAAAAATCCTATCTCGCTTCCGACTACCTGAAAACATATTTCGTGTTGTGGATGTAGAAAATTTAATGCTCTATAAAAAAATCTATAACGATTTTTCGTAAACTTAACTGTTCAAAGATTTAACGGTTGAAGTTTGATTATTTTTTTATGACAAAATTTTTTTTTCTTATAAATTTTATAACTCAATGAAAACCAAAATAATTTGCAAATACAAAACTTTTTTTGTAGGAAATTTACTGCTCTACAAGAAGGATCTCTTATTTTTTTTTAATTTGTTTTAAATATTTTTATG